AAAAAAGCGCTAATGACTGTCAGCCAACGTTGATGGGCGAGAATAGACGTGATCTTCTGCCCTTATTACTTTGAGCCATCATTACTGGTTCTGTGCACACACAGACACACAAAGGTACACACACACACACACACTCCCCATTTCGAGGTTGACATGTGACTTGAACTGACCAAATCCCTTTATATCTCATCCAAGAGCTTATCTTTATGGCAAATACATTTCATTTGTTCATTTCTATACACACAACATTCATGCATGATGCGGCAAGTCTTCTTGCCTCGTCAGGTCGAATATGCTTGCAAGAATGATAGCCTCTCTGCTGCGGCAAGGCCAGTCATTCGAGGCAGGAAAGTTGAGCACGCTTTCAACGGAATCGAAACCGGTTGCTTTGGCAACAGCGCAAACAAGGATGCCATTCGACAGCGGGTCAAGAGGAATCCGCGGGTACGATCCTTCTTCGAGTCTCTTCATCAAACACTGTCATTCGAAGTGGAAGTTAGCTCAACTATTGTTAACCATAAGAGGCATGGAAACACATATTTTCTTCTCATGAACCATACGTCTATCCATATACCTGTATGATCACTCGTCTGCCCGCCTGTCCAGAAGACGAACAGGCATATCCCCAAAAAGTTGTACATGTACTCTCTATTTGAGCTCTTTGATGAGCTTTCAAGTGATTCGGCTATTCCCAGACACATGTCAACCATGGAGCATGTGAGTGTCTCTGTCTGTTTGTCTGTCTGTATGTATGCGTTGGCATATGAACGAAACCAACATGGATGGAAATGAGCTCAGCAATTGTGAAACGAGTGATTCATCGAAACCCAACTTTCCTTCGTTTGTGCTCATCTTCCCCAACCTGAAAAGCGTGTGTACTCTCGAAGATAACACAGACACATCTCCTATTTCTCTCCTTATCCTTCCACTTATTTATCACATTTTTCTTTCCCTACCTGTTCCACTTCCACTCCTTTTCTTCCTCTTTCTCTTCCTCCTTTCATATTCTCTATTTCCTCCTCCGCTTTCTCTCCCTCCTCTCCCTCTTCTCCCTCTTCTCCCTCCTCTCCCTCTTCTCCTTCCTCTCCCTCCTCTCCCTCCTCTCCCTCCTCTCCCTCCTCTCCCTTCTCTCCCTTCTCTCCCTTCTCTCCCTCCTCTCCCTCCTTTCCCTTCTTTCTTTCCTCTCGCTCCTCTTGCTCCTCTTCTTCCTCCGTGTCCTCCCATCAACTCACCTTTTCAGGCGATACTGCAAGAGGCGAGAGTTCTGGCCGATAGCAATCCTCGCGGACCGGGTCTCTGCGAGCTGTTGGGCGTCGAGTTGGCCCTCGGCCTCGCCACGGTCGCCGGCCACGGAATGCTGCAAAAGTGGCTTCCGCACGGAGGCACCGGCAACAGCATCGGCCAGCGTGGCGACGGGAGGGCGGACGAGCCGAAGCGTAAGAAGCCGGTCGGCGTGCGATTGAGCAGCAAGTCGGACAAGTCGGACGAGCAAGTTCAGGTAAGAGTTGGCCGGTTCGCCGGTTCGCCGGTTGTCTCTGAGTGGTGGCCTGAAAAGACAAGAAATGACCACCCGCCGGACGTCGAGATCGCGATCTGGTTGTGAGGAATTGGGACTCGCATCGAGGACTCGGAGAAGCCATCCGTTCGGGAGACTCCCGCGGTTGGAGTTGGGCAAAGGCAACGCATCAACCCGCCGACAGACGAAAGGAGACAGCGTTCGAGGAGACCGGAAGACACTTTCCCAGCGACCGGGATCAGGCATGGGGGTGGAAGGAGTTTGTCTGAGAAGGGATACAGCCCCGTGAGCGTACGTTGAGGATCTCAGATCAATTGACGCCTCGAAGAAGTGCATTCGACGTGCTGCTGAAGAGGACGATGCTCATCGAAGAGTTGTCTTTGAGTCTGCTGCCAGAAGATGAGACTACAAGGCCAGAT